ACGCGCGAGCAAAGGTCGGGACAACGCCTGGAGGACCCCAGATGAACATTATGATAGAGACGACGACTGGCGCTCCGAAATGGGTAATGCCGTAAGGGAGCCATGCGAGAATGTCGAGGAAGGAATTCTTGTGACTGGATAAGATATTGCTGAGGTTGGCGCCATAAAATATGTTCTCAAGAGCGGGAAGAACGCGGACATGGATGGAGGGACGATAAGCGCCATCGATGAATCTATCCAGCGGAAAATATTAGCGTCGATTTACGATTCGCGGTCTCAATTTCATGCAGACATGTACGTACCTGCAGGAGAAGAACAATATGATCCAGCCAACAACGGGTAACGTTGGAAGCCAAAATTGACTTGTAACGGGAAAACAAAGAGAAAGCAAGAGAGTAGTAGCGCCAAAGGTCTTGACCATGGGGCCCGGAGTTTCCATGATGCTCAAGCAGAAAATGCCCAGTATTGCCAATCCTAGGTACTGAAAGTCATACAGTGACCATTGATGTGTGCGCAGTGCTGCTATTGTATCGGTAGGCGACCAGGAAGTCTGTAATCGGAAGACATTGGAAGCAGGGGACTGTCCAACACGTAGCCTGCCTTTTGTCGCTCTCCATCTTCTTCTGACCTGACGAGGAATGAGGTATCGCATATTGGGTAGCTTTGGAAGTCCCTCCGGGAGGGCTGGCGTGAACGAAGGCATTCGTGTCCGTTTCCCTCTGGCGGCGAAGTCGAAGGAGGGGAGCGTAGGGGACATGGTGGGAGTGAAGGAGAGTTGAAGGGCGAGCGGGTGACTTCGCCCTGGCTGGTGATGGATCCTCCTTGGGTTTTAGGTTCTGGTGGTGACGGATAGTGACGAGCACGCCGAGCAGAGGCAGAGTCGGTCGTAGCGGCCACGGACCAATCTGTGGCCGAAAGATCCGGGACTCGCGATTGCTGATTGGCGATGGATTGCAGTAGTGCGCGAGATATCTTGGGCAGCCAGTACTGCGCAGCCACGACGAGAGGGAGATCTGGGAGCGAAGGGTTGACTGCGCTGGAGACCTGGAGTGATTGTTGTGTGATGAGCCGAGCAGCAGGAGAGTTCAGTTGACAGTTGTTGATGGGGCAGACGGTCGCGTTAAGCTTTGGCTTTTCGCTGGCGAGCTCTAACGCTCTGGTATCATAAGCAATTTAACATCTGCACTATGACCACTCAACGGCCGAATCCTGGCACGTCCATCGTAGCCTAGGAATGTAAGAGCGGAATCGGACACGGAAGGCGGGTCGAGAGGGTTGCTGAGATGAAGCGGGCTAGCAGCGTTTGTGGTTTGTACACAGTATCCCATTGATATCACGTCGAAACAGATTTCATGACAGTTCGACTTCTTGGCTCTGCCAGTGCTCTGGAGAATCTGCGCATAGGGGGAGAACAAAGCACAGCAACAACAGGACATCGGAGCATCTCATCTCTCCATTCTGTCACGATTCAAGCCGGCCAACCACTGATGCTTACGGCTTCGGCAACGACTCTGGCGCCGGTCAGCCACTTGGAATGCAACTATGCAGCAGACTACGATGCACGGAGCCAGCCGTCCTTCTCCAGTCCCAATTTCACAAACTGCTTGGGCGGTCTTGGCCCCTCCATCCATCAGAAACGATCCGTGTTTCCTGGAGATGCTCATTGCGCATCCATGAAACGATCCATTTCAATCCCCATCTATCGAGATACAAGGTCCAGGGCCAAGACGAACCTACCCAACCCAACACTTACCATCTCCAGTAGCAAAAAGGCTCTTATACAAAGCCATTCTCTCGTGCTGCAAATTGATACATTATTCATAAACCCGACCCGCTGCCTGACTAATTACATGCGGCTCGGGATCCTGCGGGTCTGCAAGCGTCAAGCTCATATCCTGGTCCCGGTGTCTCTTGATGAACTTTCTTCGCTTTGTCACAAGCCGACCGAGATGATCCGTCTTCGTAGAGAAAATGCGCTGTCGTCTCTCTCGTCGGAAGCATACGGAGGCACTTCCTCATGCACGATGCTTGCTCATCCTGAACGTAGCTTCGGACATCTGACGACATGCTACCAGCATTCGCTTTCCTTGAGCGCTTAGCATCATGTTGCTGATTAGGCGTGCTTTCCGTAGTGGTAATAGTCTGTATGATGGTAGCGACGCAGGCAGGGAACAGCTTGTACGAATACGAACATCTAGACTCCGCCAAGCCATGTTGACTTGGAACGAGATGCGCATATCTGGGGCTTCCTAATCTGATTTCGAGCCTTAATTAATGTTCGGATTGTGACAAGCTTCTAAGGGCTGTTCATCCTATCTTTGGTTCTTCGAGTTGATTGATGAGGTTGTAAAAGACTTTTGTCCGATCGAGCCAATCATGACTGTCGTGGCAAGGCGCATGCATTATATGAATGTTATGTGTGCGCGCATGTACAATGTCACGACCCCAAAACTTCATGCACAAAAATTAAGATCGAGGAGAAGGTTTTGCTTGATTGTGTAGCTGAAGACAAGAGAGTCCGTCACTATTCCTTCCCTCTGTTCAACATCCATCTTTGTACCGCATAATCGTGACAGTCGTCGTAGATTTCCCAAACCGCTTACTTGCTCTCGTCAAAGACGTAGGTGAGATGGCACTTTCCGCAGTACTGACGGTTGTGCATGGCGGCCATGAAGACGCCGGCACCACACTCGTCGGCGGGGCACTCTCGTCGGAGGCGCTCGATCTTTCCGTCGCCATCGACCTTATAGTACTTGAGCACAGCCAACTTGGTCTTCTTGCGCTTGTGCTTGATCTTCTTGGGTGTGGTGTAGACCTTCTTCTTGCGCTTCTTGGCCATACCGCCACGAAGTCGGAGAACGAGGTGGAGAGTCGACTCCTTTTGGATGTTGTAGTCGGATAGAGTGCGGCCGTCCTCGAGCTGCTTTCCTGCGAAGATCAAGCGTTGCTGGTCTGGAGGAATCCCTTCCTTGTCTGTTGCTGATGTGAGCGGCCGGTCTTTGCGAGTCTCATCAATTCGACATACCCTGGATCTTGGTCTTGACATTGTCAATGGTGTCGGATGACTCCACCTCGAGGGTGATGGTTTTGCCCGTGAGGGTCTTCACGAAAATCTGCATGGCGATCTGTGAAAGAGTTAGTCGTCGCTTGAGCGCGTCCTTGGAGTCTGGCTGGCGTACCTCAACAACCGTGTGGGTGTTTCTTCAATAGCTTGCAGATTGCGGTTGGGAAGAGGAATGTGGGAACCTTTCGAATTTGAGAGCCCCACTTGCGCCACTGTGGAAGAGTGGCCGTGCAGTCCACGTGACTAATTATGATCTCCAATCACTGCAGAAACTTCAACTGTTTCCATCCCATTTCAAACATCAAACATCTCATCGTCTGCCCGACTACCGGATATCGGCCAGAAACGAATGAAGGATCACACTGACAAATACGCGTCTGTTTTCGGTACTCGGTCTCTATGGAGCGAAGTAACCTAATTCCACTCTCGTAACGTTTGTTAGTCCATTCTATGGAGAAGGCAGCGATGGACCGGCAATTGCCAGTTTGGAGATTTCCTGAACACGCAAAAGGACAGATGGTGAACTCATGGACAGCTGCATATCCAAGACGAGTCCTAGGCTCCATCTCCACTCAAGAATTGAACCAAGTCCCGAAGTCGCTCATCATCCTCGGCGGTGGCCCTGTTGGCCTCGAATTTACGCAACTTCTAAGCAATTAAGAACTCTCTTCCACTTCGTGCAAAGGACCAAACAATTCCTTCTCCGCTAGGATCCATAGATAGCGCAGAGCCTCCCCAACATCATCAAAGGAGAAGGACTCGAGACCTCCTGCGGCCAAGAACTCAAAGATATTGCATAAAATCAAAGCTCAGACCTTCCCATCAGCCTAGCAACACAGTCTTCCCAAGGAGAACCTGGCCTTTACATATTCCACACACACTTACTGCTAGTGACGGGCCGCCGCCCTAACACCAATCTCCTCAATCTTACAGCAACAAATATCGCCATCGATGCACGAGGCTACATCCGAGTATTATCCAAACTGGAAACAATGTGTCCTGGTATCTACGCTCCAAGCGCTTGCACCGGCGTTCCAGCATTTACGCACATCTTCTACGACGATTTCTGGATCATCTGAGACAACGTAAAGCTCGATCACAAACCATGATCCTCGGCACTAAACAAACGACTAATTCCACAGACCACACAATCCAGAAAGGACACCATCCCCTATGTGACCTTCACTGACTCACACCTCGTATACGGGGGAGTGTATTCACACGATATCCCTCTTTTCGCACGTGCCGATACACAAGTCGCGAAAATGCCGATCTTGTATGTGGTGCAGGCACTAGAAATTGATGGAGCGACAGGGATGGTGAATGTAGTCGTGAATGTAGAGATAGGTAAGATTTTGAGATTTGTTATTTGAGTGTTGAGGCTGGGAAATCAATGAGTCTTGTACAGTGTGCTATGATGGGCGGTACAAAGAGCTAGGATATGAGGGAGGCGATTTGGGCGCATCCGACATGGGTGGAAACATTTGGGGAAAATTTAGCCGATTACTGGGAGCGGCAATGTTGACGGAGGTGGCACATAGTCCTGTGTCCCTCCGCCTCCAGAAAGCGCGATATATCGAGAGAGCTTTGTAACTTCTAAATTAAGACTAATACTGATAATCTCCTAGAGACTTCGACGTATATCCTCACTAGAATTTATTTTATCTTCATCTTCAGCTAAAGGTGAGAATTGCAGTTGAGATGTTCCTGGAGAGACATAGAACTGGTGAAGCCGCTGTGCTGGCATATCCTTGATTTGACAGCCACTTTATCAGGGCGGCTACAATTCTTGATAAATAGTGTAGGTAATAGCTTTCCCCCACAGATAAAAGAGGTCGCCGAAAGACATGGCATCAGTGGTCCAGACCAACCTACACTCCCAACCACCCCGATCTCCCTCCCCCATCCAACATCAGTCAAAGGAAACAAAAAGAAATGGTGTTGCCCGGGATCGAACCTATATCTGTTAGAACACACCCAACCACTGGTATATATGAGTATGACTGAGCTCACCGAGGACCTTCACAGGATACTGTCGTTGACCACAATGTGACGTGCTGCCACTGCACCACAACACCCCTTTTTAAGGGGAGGAAGGGAGGCGGTATGATGTTAAGGATCACGAAGTCTTGCTGTTGATTGGGATGGAGTTCTTGAGTAAGAGATCAGCTGCGGTTGATTGTGAGTCAGCGATTCAGAGTATTTCTCACGGGCGATCGGGAGAGCCTTATATCTGCCCTGTTGCTCGAAATATAGCGGAAGTGGATTGGATTGGTGAGGAGTGGTTGCACGACGTTTCGGCGGTGGTTTTTAGTCCATACAGCAATTCTAGAGTTTGCTCTCCCCAAGCCAGCTCTTTCAAGAAGAGAAGAATTTCCGTAATTGGTCGGTATTCTCAATCAAGGGCTTGCAAATCTTCGACTCGCGGTGGAGTATCTCGTGATTATCGACTTCTCGGAGATCCGGGGCGAGGTTGAGGACGCCACTATGTTTGGGACCTTGCTTGATCTTGAATTTGTGAGGCAAGTCAAAGCATGTCGTGGTGGAAAGTCGGACCTTTGACTGGACTGAGATGCTGGCCAAAAGGCTATGATTTGTTGAAGCATCCGAATCGAGGCCATGAGGTCGTGTTCGAGTCATCTTCTTTTTACAACACCTGATTTGATTATGGTTTTGGTCCTTGACAGGTAAACTTAGTCTATATGTTTTCTTTCCATTTTTTAACTATGTTTATAGTTGTCATTCACTAGTTTTATTGCGTTTGTCTTGCCCCATTATTTCTTACCTTCTAAAGCTAGAGTCTTGATCATTTGTTATCTCTGGGTCAAGTAACAAAAGACAAGGTTAGAGCGTTCCCATAGAAGCTTTACTAAATGACGTTAATTTGTCCAGATACTACGATATGACGAAGCGCAGGGATGATGATCAAAAAGTAAGTTAGTGGTCAGCATTAGGTGTGTCTCTTCATTATGAAAGTGACTCAGAGATTCGAAGCATTTGTCTATTGTTGGTGGCGGGATTGATTTAGAGGAATTGGGAAGGAAGGAGACGATATCGAATCATTCGCTGACGATTGTTCAGTTGTCGCAGACGGCGATAGCTGAGCCAGAATCCCTTCACTTGGCGCAAGGTTATAGATGAAAATTGAACGTGTTTATCGCTGCTGGGCAGCCTGGATCTTGTTAGACATGCACGCCTTCGTAGATGTTCTGAAAGAGTTCCTTATTGCCCAAGTGAAATTCTCGGCGATGGTTCAATGATATCTGTCGCTGTTCGATTCGATATCAATCGGCGTACCGTGATCCGCCTGCTTCGTGCCGATCACGAACTGGAGCTTTTATTCCTCCAGCAGGGTCATACAACCATCTTCTTTCGTTCAAATGATACAATGAGGTGACGGCCATGTTAAAACGGCCGCAAGACAGGAGCGGTTTCGTCGTACTCCCATCTCGATTGAGAGAACGGCAATGAAAATTCAGAGGTAATGTCTTTGCCGAGCTGCCAAATCCTTCGTTGGTGAACAACTCTGCTGTGATTGATATCAATGCACCACATGGTATTATTTTCTATGCAATGGCTTCCGGCAAGCAAGTTCGAGGTAAAAGATCAAGGACAGAATTGAGACTGGATCCTGGTCCGACTGATTGCTCGTCTAGATGGACACATCCGGTGTAGACTCCGTGGGATCGTTGGGGGGAAGGTAAATTCGTCGAGTCAGCTGATATTCTGTCTGAATGAGCCCGATCCCTTCAAGGGACGGCCTAATTGTGAACTACGCCCTTGAGAACTTCCTCTTTGCTGAGACGCCAGTAGACATCCATCATGGCATCCATTAACTTCACGTCTTGGCCAGGAGCGACTGGAAGCCCCAGTCTTTCTATCTCCTCGCCGACTTTTCCTTTTTGACATGCTTTTTGGGCTTCCTTGTACAGCTCGAAAACGATCATCCTTTCCTCAGGACCCAACTCAGTCATGAACTTCGAGTTTTCGAAGTGATCACGTGCGATCAAAGTTTCCATACACTTTTCTAACGGTAATTGGATTGCCTTGTCCATGTCCTCAGACATGATGAAGTAAGCGATACCATCTGTGATCCATACGGTTTTAGCATCTTCAGTCATCAAGCTGAGATCGCTTTTCTCTCGGCCAAACGGCGAGTCCTTCAAACCAATCGATTCTGTCTCAGCAAACATCTGAAGATTGTTCTTCATTTCTGCAGAGACTTCGTCTGTTCCACCACGGCGAAGTAAGGCCAAGCGAGTAGCCATGGCAAGAAGGAGTTCGTCTTTGACAGATAGTTTGTCCTTCGTATGTGAGTACCTGTGGAGGCGCTCGGACACCAATCTGCTCGCCACGAAAGCTGGAATATCCGATATGGCCCCTGGCTGACAAGGCTTATTCGTGTAGTACAAAACGAGAAGGGGCTCAAGAGCATATCGGCCGTTCGATTCTGAACAGAGCAGTGGCGTCTCTTGCTTTGAGAATAAAGGTGAAAATGATGACGCAACGACCACTACGACTACGGGAAGAGTGTAGAGCCATGTGAATGCTTTGCCAGAATTTGAGAAAGATCGAGTGAATCCTGGAGTTCCAAGATTACGGTGCCAAAATTTGTAGAGTTGGGAAGACTGTTTGCGTAATGTATTTCGAGCTCTGAACATAGCTTGTGACTGAGAAGCGTATCGATTCGATCAAGAGCAGAATCTGCCGAAATGAGATTGAGCGAGGCTGTAAGTTCGGCAGCTCGTATGAGCTTAGCGAGCGATGTATAGTGAGTGCGAAGGGTTCGAGCGAGACGGTTGACAATGCTGATGAGTATCAATCCGGTTGATTTGGTGGTCGCATGTCTTGCGGACCAACTTCCCTTATCCGGTCACGGTATGTGTAGTGCTGATGAGTACGTACTGATCGAGATGGACGATAAGTCTTTCTGATGCACAGCAGCACAGGTATTGGTATTTCATGTCCACAGCAAGTATTTGGAGAGGCACGGCAGGATCGGAGGTGATCATGCTAGCAAACGCTAGGGTACGCAACCAATTGGAAGTTTAGACTGACTCGTAAGGATAAATATGTGCGCCTTAGGCTAGCGCAAGCAGTCTTGAGGCATCGATCGATTTTTTCCATTCGTAGCGACCAAAGAAGACGTTCTAGCGTTAGCGATTATTGACTTCAATTGTGGACGCACTCTTGGGATTTGAAGACCGTATTGCGGGTTCACCAATTCTGGAAGCCTCGAGGGAAACTGGCCGATATCGTCAATTATGAATCAAGACTTTAATTAAACTTCTTGGAATAGAAAAGTTTTCTTAGAGATCAAGCATCAAAGAATTGGTCAAGCCGCTGTGGCTAAATGGTATGAACGCAAAATCCTTTTTGCAAGTAAATCCAGGTTGTAAGTCAAGAGCGATGACTGCGAATTCGTGGTAGGCTTCAGGTCTATCGATTTCCCAACTAAGCATGCAGAAACTGATAGAAATGAGGGGCCGTGTCTTCACAAAGTCGAGGCATCCACAATGAATACATCTTTCCTGAATAGCTGTCACCTTTTCCATCGAGTACCTTTGATTGTTTCCAAGATTCCTGGAGTAAAGAACGGTGCTCTTCCAGCACTCTTATTTCGATGCCGCTGCGAGGCTATAAGCCTTGCTATCTGAGGTCTCCTATTCATCATATTGTCAAACAATACCACCCGATTTATTGAAGCTTGTGAGTGCTGTGACACAACAGCTGCTTGTACAGTCCCCAACTTCGAAGATTCGGAGGCTCTGCTGTTGCTGTATCAATTTCCAAAGATGGAATGATGTTCGGTTCGTCAAGCATACCGAGCTGGATATCCATCGTATGACACCGCTCGATAGTCAGCCGTTTACTTGGTCAAATATCTCGTTCTGGCTCCGCGTTCGTCTTGCTGAGAAGAAGATCTTGATAGAATGCCAGCCTGGTTGGTTGTACTTAACACGCAAACTCGATAGTGTTCATACGACTTCACGGGTTCCTTGATTTTGTCCATCGTCAAGCTCTGGACTATGCAAAGAGCATCGAGTTAAAGGTACCTGCTTGATTCGAGCCTACGCGCCACATGGACGCGGTCCCTCAGCTTTGAAGGATGACTCTGAAGTTCTTCACCAGCTTAACAAGCTTGCAACGATGGAAGAGATGACGTGAAAACCGCGGAAAATGAGCAGGCAACGTCAGCGATTTTGTCACGCATGCCGATGTCCAGATCTATTGCTCAAGACTTGCCGTTAGAGCTGAGGGCTATCACTGATTAAAGAGTCGACTGAGGTGCTTGGATGCGATGGCGCCTTACACTTCAATATCCAGTTGCGGATTCTTCGTTACTCGGAGACGCGAAATATGCAGCCGCGATGCTATCTTACCTAAAACAACAGTCAATTTAGAGAATCCGCCGCCATGAAGAAACACATTCTATTACCTTGCTCTGCAAATACTACGTGTATGAATCGAGGCCCGAGTATAAATTCGCCATCATGCCTGTTCTCAGATGTGTCCACCTGTAGCGGTTCCAAAAGACGAATTTGACGAGGCTGTCCTCCCAGCAGGTACATGTCAACATCATACGAGATGGCAATGGCGTGATGATTGAGAGTCTTTCGTATGTTTGTAAGTCCGCATCGCTTGAATTTCCGCACCACAAGCAAGAAGAGTCTTTGAGCTGCTGTGAGCTTGAATCTGCTTCCGATTCACTCACTTTCGCCTACCCCAGTCTCGCCATGCTTACAACCGTTAAAGGAGAGATTGGCTCGCACGATTTCCAGGCAAAGGAGTGTAGAAACGCGTTGCTCCCCGCGTTGTCGGTTCCACTCATTCTTATAGCAGTACAGTCAGCGCGAGGTCGTTCCCAGCAACAGCAGCAGGGTCTCGGGAGATGCGAGTTCATTTTGAGAAACCTTGGAGCAAGAAGTCATGGAGAAATAACGGTAAGCGAAATTGCCAGGCGACACACTGCAGATGGACCTGAGACCCGTTAGATCATCGACTTGGTCTACGAGAATTCCAGCATTTTGTGTCAATCAGAACCATCTTCAAATCGGATCGTTGAAGCCACGAAATG